TAAGAGTTAAATCCAATGTTGGCCCCAAATGAATCAACCCATTGAGATCACTGGATGTAAAATAGTTGTAATAAATCAAATAATCTCAATGGATCTACTTAGTAGATCTGCTCAACCAACACTCAATTTAACTTGGGGTGGCTTGCAAATAACGAAAGACAGAGGGAAAGACTTTTAAGCAAGACCAAAGGAAAGCACTGGATTTTTCAATGCCAGCATAGAATATATGGGAGCCAGTCTTATTAAAAAAGAGAGACTCGCATTCACTACATTTCACTTTGCCCAAAACGAAGATGGAAAGCAGTTTTCAAACAAGAACTCCCAAGTGCTGCAGCTGCTCCTTCCACAGAAAATTCGAAATCTTTGCAGGTTCGGTCTGGAGATGGTACCATCCAACTTGCCTTAAGACAGTGGTTCCCCTTCAGCAACCATCTCTGTTCATGTCATCACAACTGTGATTATATATGGCGAACAGACAAGCAGCAGGAAGAATTGAATGAGAAGGCATCAGCCACAGCGAAGCGCCTGCAAGACTGGGCGTGTGTGCTTGCTTAAACAAACCCAGAGGGATCAAACAAAGATGATGTGCCACGTGCAAGAAGAAAGGCAAAAAAGAACAGAATCCAGCCACCAATTCTTCTGGCCCCTGGGCAAGTTTTTTCCTGTACTCCCAAATATGGCAAGGCCAACTCATTAGAACAGCAAGTAGGAGACAAGAAACAGGTCCCAAAAGATCCTCATGGGTCCTAAGCAACATTGCCTACCTTGATACTGGGCAGCCTGTATCCATAAGAGCTTCGAGATTCTGAGCATTGTCACCCAGAAAAGAAACTCTTCTGAGCTGGAACAGTTTGGTACTGTAGTTGCTTTTTAAAAATGCCCATATTACCTGAAAGGCAGTATTGTTATGAACCAGCACCGGAACTAGAATTTGATAATAGCCAGCCCTGATCAGAAGTATCACTAATTAATCACATTATTATTATTTTTTTTATTTATTTAATTTATATGCCGCAAACACTACCCAAAGGTCTCTGGGCGGCTTACAGCATCTGGGGTAACATCACCAAAAATAAGGTCACATACAGTATTTGCATAACATTAGTCACCCAGAAAAGAAACTCTTCTGAGCTGGAACAGTTAGGTAGTTGCTTTTTTAAAAAGCCCATATTACCTGAAAGGCAGTATTGTTATGAACCAGCACCGGAACTAGAATTTGATAATAGCCAGCCCTGATCAGGAGTCACATCTGGGGTAACATCACCAAAAATAAGGTCACATACATTATTTGCATAATATTAAGAATTGCATGAGCTTATACACAAAGTTATAAATAATGGCGATTACCTGGATCATCAGTGGTTTCACTCTGTTTCCATATCTCTGACAAAGAGAATGTGTCCACGAAAGGTTACATTCAAATATAATAATTAGTCTTTAAAGTGCAACGTGTTTTTCGTTTTGTTTCTTTGCATTCAGTGGTTTAGGTATCTGGCTGTGGGAGTTTGATTTGCCCCTGCACTTCCTGTGAGTACAGCCAGCCTGCATGGCCTTGGGCAAGCTACACAGTCCCAGGGCACCCCCAAAAGACAGGAATGGTAAAGCAGTTCTGAGTATCCTCTACCCACTTCCTGTGAGTAGAGCCAGCCTGTATGGCCTTAGGCAAGCTACAAAGTCCCAGGGCACCCCCAGAAGACAGGAATGGTAAAGCAGTTCCGAGTATCCTCTACCTGGAAAACCCTGAAAAGGGGTCTCCATAAGTCAGAATTGACTTGATGACACATTGTTATTATCATCATCATTATTATCAGCCATTTCAGAGCTGGGGAAATCTGTGCTGATGTCTAGATTTGGCTACAAAGGTGAGTGGGCATGCAGCTCTCAAGCTTCTTTTTTAATATCTCTATTCAGAGATTGGAGAAAATAGATTTTTTTAAAGCCAGAAAAAAACCAAGGAGTTTTTTTATAAAAATAAGCCATGACCTTTAGCCCTGAAAACTGCTGTGCAAAACTGACCTCAGCTTTCCATGCCTTGTTGCACTGAGACTTAATCCTGAAGAGACATAAATAGATTTGTGCTTTGCTTACTCTGGGAATAAATGTCAAATTAGCACAAACTGCATAAGACATATCATTGACCATGCTAGTCAAGAGAATTCTGGACAGTCCAGAAATGTAAGTTTTCCCCAAGCTTTATCCCTATACCAATCATTTCTGTTCCAGATGCTTATTAGAAAAGTATGAAGCACAGTGTCTGGATGATGCTCTTACCATCCAGAGGCATTCCAAGAAAAGGAAGATGTACCACCGGCCCTACCATTAGGCATTGTATATCAACACTCTCAGGTAGCAGATACGGAAAGGAATTTCCTGCCTGTTCGTCATGGACTCTTTGGCTGTTTCCCTCTGCTGAAGGACAGATGTGTTGACTAATCAAGGTGCACTGGGTCCCCTAAACTAGCTTGCCACATCAGATACAGTGAAAGACACTATCCTGTTGATGCGCTGAACTACTAATCCAGCCAGTTTCTATATAAGGACAGGAAAGCTGACAGCATCTTCTTATTCAAGATAGCAAAAGATTTTGGGCTGGCCCTACTTTACATGCTTCTTCTGGCACTTTTTGCCCCAGCATCAGATTTCGCATTCTCCCCAGCATGGGAAAGTCCTGGGTGCAATGGATGGGCAGAAGTGGAATGCAGCTTGGAACCCAACAGAGAAGTGAAGTGACCTCGGCGAAGCAGCAGCTGCTGTCATCTCTGTCTTTATGTCCAACAATGCAGCAACACGAGTGAGGCAACAAGGGCCTACAGCCCCCCTGCCCAAAGCTGGATGCCCATCCCTGCCCCATCACATTCATTTGCACAACTCAACATTCAGCCACCTAGTGAGGCTATTCCTAAAGATCACTGCATAGCAATTAAGCAGTGTCTCACCTTTGGCTCCAAGTACTGTATTTAGTTCAGGCTGAATGGCAGGTTTCAGGGGCCCCAACCAGATGGCCAGTAGACAAGAATGATGGGATTTGTAGTCTAACAACACACAGGCTGCCAAAGTTTCCCCACCCCTGATTTAATTCAGTGGGTATGAAGGAATTCAGCATATGGATAATATTTACTTTTCTAACCCTTTGCAACCCATGCACAGGAAAGCATATCTAGCTCTCTCAGTATCAGCAGAGGGTGTAACAATTGGTGTCAAACTAGAACTGGAGCAACTGAACTCCAAATCTCCAAAACACACCGGATGTCTTTAGGGCCATCACTCCCTCTCACCCTGGCCTACCACCCAGAGTCCTTGGAAGGGTAACTTATGAAGCAGGAGGAAGAAGGACCACCTATACTACTTTCAGATCATTGGCAAAAAAGCAGGATATAAATATAGCAACAGAAAGATAATAAATATTCCCTCAGGCTTTGACCTGACAAATAGACTCCTTACCTATCCTGAGGCATGATTTTATATTTCATAGCTTTCTTTTTTTAAGGAAACATCTGCTGTTTTTGCGATCTCATTTATTTTTCTTAACTATATGTTTTTAAAAAGCACTAAGGTTAGCTGCTTTGATTCCTTTCTGAAGATAAAGAACAATTATGCAATTTCTTATTAATACAAATAAATATGTGCACCTCAACGCTCCTCTGGTGTCATTCTTTTAGCCCCCGTTGGGAAAAGTTACTTTCTAGGATGGCAACTTCCCAAAATAGTCCAGCCGGCTGACCAGTAGAGTTGTCTGTTCTGGGAGCTGCAGTCCAAAAGAGTAATTTTTCCAAACTCTTTCTTCCATTTGACAAGATGACTCCCACTTTCTGCATCCTCCCTGACCTCCCCCCCCATGTTGTTGAGATGAAGTTTCAAACCCCATTTACGAGGACTGTCCAGCTTCAGTGAATGAGACGCACAGGGCCATCATCCCAAGACATTTTGAAGCCTGAAGGAGAACAGTAAATGTTTTTTTTCCTTCCTGATCTAACCCTGTATAAATATTACCAACAATCAGCCAAGTCCTTTTGGCACCTGATGCAAAATATCCCTCAGGCATCTCTGCTTCGTCACAAGCTTATCAAGTACAGTCAGTGAGCGCATTGTGAAGGGAAGATTGAGTAGCTGTATATATAAATGTGACTACTAAAAAATAATGAATGAATGAAACATCTTAGGGCGGGGAAAGAAAAAAAAGTAGAGTCTAGATATGCACCCATTCACGGCTACATGAGTGGAATAGAAATGGCTTCAGACACACATAATATGCAGTCTTTTTCTATGGTAAAATCTGTAAAAACACGCACTCCCAGTGACACTGAGAAGGGAAACACAAAGAGACCCAAAGAGTAGCAAACCTGAAAATACGTAACTTCTCCATTTTCTAGGATGCACTTTAAAAAATTCTCCATTTTTTTTTACCATCAAGAAACTCAGAATCAAACTAACTTTCTAACTCCAGAAAAAGAACCTAGTGCATGGTGTTTAATTGAAAGCCGACCTGGGACTGTCAGAATTTACGCTGAAATGAATGGAGAAATAGCAGCTTCTCACATCTTTTATTCTACTGAGCAATGTCTTAAAATATTCAGTGCTTGAAGGAACATAAAGAAAGGTAATTGCCTTGCAGTTAATTTTGAGTAACTGTAAGGCAATCATCTTTCTTTCTGTTCAATCAAGTCTCTCGAAATCTAGCAGAGGATTACACCTAGGTAAAAGGGTAAATTAATGCAGTCCTAAGCAATAAAGAAGGTCACACAATCCAAACACATCTTCTCTCAATAAGAACTAGATTCCGGTTAGATGAGAGTTCTGTGTAACTCAAAAGCCTGCACCGTTAGCTCGGTTAAAACTCTTAAACCCCTTAAATCCCAGAAATGCGCCTCGGGTTGAGAAAGAAGGAAAGAAGATCGCGGGAAAAGAAGGTTTCCAACCTCACCCAAGAGTCCATTCCCTCTCCCCTTCAGAACAAGGAACCTGAGACGCTTCATCCCCAGCCGCCGCTGCCTTTCACTTACAGGTATTTGTGCGGATTCGCTTGATGGTGCAGAGCCACGGAGAGCCCGAAGAAGCTGTCCGGGGTTTTCCCTTTCTTGAGGACCACGTACGTCGTGTCCAGGTTGAAAGCAAGAGATCGGAAGGGGCAAAAAGACATCCACAAGGTGCACCCTAAAAAAAACAGCGCTTTCGGTCCACTTTTTCGGCCGCCGGTCTGGGCTAGTTGAGAGGGACCAAGGGCCATGTCGTGTCTGGTGGGTCGCTCGTTTGCTTGCTGGATGGATGGACGAGGACGGCGGGTCGCGGGTCGCACGCAGTGCCTGGAGTTTTCCTTTCTCCTCCTCTGCCCGTCTCCTCCTCCTCCTCCTCCGTTCCGCGTCCTGGTTGCAAACTCCCAGCTCTCGCCTCTGCGAAGCGAGGGGGATCCCCCAGTTCTCCTCCCTTTCCCAAAGGATCCGACGGTGCCGTCTGTGCCGGCCCGGCGAGGGTTAAAAAGGGGAGGCGCGCTGGGTCTCCCCCCCCCCTCACCTCCCCACTCTTTCCCCCACCTTGCACAGAACGTATAAGCGGCCGCTACTGGCTGCCCTTTTCTTCCGGGGGAAAAGAGAAAACAGTGGCAGCGAGCCGGAGCGACCGGCACTTGGCGCCTTAAAGGGGCCCCGACAGGTTGGACACCTGCCCAGCTTGCAAGCCAGAACGTTACTGCTTTAAAGGTAGCAGCCGGTTTTTACATTACTGTAAAAAACGACGATAAGGATGGTAAGAGCAATGGTCCCACGCTGATCTGCAAACCTCAGGCATGGGTAGAGTGGGTAGTATATTAGATAGACAGACAGATAGATAGATAGATAGATAGATAGATAGATAGATAGATAGATAGATAGATAGATAGATAGATAGATAGATGGATGGATGGATGGATGGATGTGAAGCCCTGCCAACTGGACGTAGGTGCATTGGAGCTGGTTGCAGGGTGCTGGCTTAGAACACGATGGAAGTGCACTCTGCACATGCACAGGGACACAGGTTTTCATTAACGCAGCACAAAGGAAATAGTGGGTTGGCTCTAGGGCTTTTAACTCCTGCAAAATTCATGGAGCTTAAGATAGTTATGACTAAGTTGTCCCATTGATTTCCCCAGGGACAAAGGATGACTAATTCAGTCTGGAGAGATCCCAATAAGAACCAGTCCTGGGCACATTTGATCATTCTTGTTACTTTTCCTGGTGAACGGCAAGGCTTATCTACAGGAAGCAGAAGTTCGCCTGACCTCCGGAACCAAGAATGGATCAAGGGGATTTCACAGATGTATCTATCTCCCAAGTGCCTGTGATTCACTGGGGAAGCAATACATTTTGCAAGACTTATTTAGGTGATTATTCTGGTGATGCCCTGCTCTTTTGAGTAAGAAAGCTCAAAAGAGCTTCCTCCCTTCTCTGCCCATATTAGCTTCACAAGAACCTTGCGAGGTAGGTCAAGCCAAGGGACAGGTACCCACTGAACTTTGGAGTGAGCAGGAATTTCGTAAGCTTTTCTTGGTCCAGCACTCTGGCCAGCATCCCACACTCTCTAGTTCCGAGGTTCTGGAACAGATCCCCTGCTAACACTGTCTCTAACAAATAGTAATGAACTGCATTACTTAAAGAATGCATAATTTTTATATCAGACTGTAGCGAACAGCCCTGCCCTCACCTGTCTGTCACAGCAGAACAGTGGAGTAGGAGCCAATGAGAGGACAGAAGGTGGAGCCCAAGAGGGAGGGGGCTGGATATAAAGGCTGGTATGTGGCGTATGAGGAGAGATTCTGTGAGTGAGAGACAGTGTGAAACTTAAAAGTGAACTTAGAGTGAGTTAGAGGCCTGTAAGAACACTGAATGGAAGAGAGAGTTGATAGAGTTTTAAAGTTAAAGTAGGATTGACTTAGATGCAAGTGATTAGCAACCTGTGATTTACCTATTGAATATTAATCTGATGTTAACTTCCTCAATCAAATAAATAAGTTTTAAAAGCACACGTGTCTCCTTGATTGAATGGTATTGAAGCAGCAATACCTGGTGGCACCGAAGAAAGAAGAAGAGCGAAAACCTCGTGAAGACCTGAGGGAATAGGGGCTTCAGAGGGGATCGCCACATAGACAAAAACAAATATTAAGACAAAAACTTGGTGGCACCTTGTAGTCTAACTATTATATTTAATTTGAGCTTTCATGGATCATGTCTACTTCTTCAGATATTACAGTGAAACTGTATGACTGGCGTATTTATACATGGCTCCATGAGCAGGTGAGAATACGGATAATGAATTAAGTGGCAGTAGTAAATTAGTACAGGAATAGGACTACTAAGGTGTAAACAATTCAGTTAGCAGGTACTGGATATGAATCTGCAAGATAACAATAGCATGACTGATAAAAGCAGTAAACTCTGGGCATCAGGGCAGGGTCTCACACTGGGCAATGAGCTAGGAATCTCTGGTTCACATTGAACCCTTTGGCATAATATTCATGCTTTCTCAGACTTACATTTTTCAAATCCAAGAGATAGAACCATATAACAATAATAACAACAATAACGTGCCATCGAATCAATTCTGACCCTTTTCAGAGTTTTCCAGGCAGGGAAGACTCAGAAGTGGTTTACCATTTCCTTATTCTGGGGGCGCCCTGGGACTGTGCAGGTTGCCCAAGGCCACACAGCCTGGCTCTACTCATAGGAGGCATAGTGGGGAATCAAATTGGCTTTGCAGACAGATATGTAAACCATTGGGCTGTCCAGACAGCTAGGATCATCTACATCCAATAATGAACTTTAAAAGTATTACCGTATTTTTCCATATATAAGACACACACCCCACTTTTCTAATCCAAAATTAAGAAATCTAAGTGGGGCTTAGCAAGTGCAGGGGGAAAGGGATCAAAGCGCTGTAGGATCGCTTTGATCCCTGCTTCCCCCTCCACTTGTTTTTCTCTCCTCAGCTTACTTCCGTGTATAAGACAACCCTCAATTTTTAGTCTAAAGATTTTAGACGAAAGTATAGTTTTATAAAAAGAAAATTTTTTCATACACTTATCCACCAATTGAAGTCAGTGTGGTGTACTGGATAGAGTGCAGTACTAGGACTCAGGAGCCTCTTGGGATCATGAATCTATCCATGGCCATGGAAAAGTACTGTGTGGTGGCAATGCTAAACTACTTGTTGGATGTCTCCCGTACCTTGAAAGCTCTGTTAGGGGTGTCATAAGTGAGAACTGACTTGATGATGCATAATGAGAAATTTTAAAACTGCAGTTCTATCAAGAGAAAGTTACCCTGGCTATGAACTGAGTACATCTACACTGAACTACATAGACAGAGTCTAGAAAATGTCTAAAGACAATTGAGAAACTCCAGTTGCTTGAAAATATGACCAGAGTTTTGGAAATTTACTTTTCCTGAACTCTACAGAGCCTAGAATCCTTCAATCCATAGCCATGCTGGCTAGAAGACTCTGGGCGTTGTAGCTTATTAAAAGCAACATTTCTAAGTTGTAGTCAGCAGCACGGATCACACCCCTAAGCTTGTCAAATACAGACAGCAAATATTTGAGCCACCATGAAATATCTGGACAGTTGTCAACGTCAGAAATTCACACAGAAGAGGACTGGGGAACAAATCTGTCTCAGCTTCAGTATCTGTGATGGGACACAGACCACACGTTTTGGGTGCAAAAGCTCAAAAAGAGAGGCAAATATCTACATTTTTTTCTGCTCCTAACCACAGAATGTTCCCAGGAAATTCATTTGTGTAATATTGCAAGCTCTTCTGATGAGGAATGGAATGCACTAATGGCTGTGCATGTTTTATGCTTGCTTGATAATGTCAGGATTCTAACTAGAGCAAAGAGGAATGGAAGGAAGGGGAAAGGCATAGGATCTAGTGCTGATCTCCCCTGATGTTTCGAGCAGTAGCTAGGGGAAAATGTGGAAGGAACATTGCAACAAGAGCAGCAGCCAGAATGTGCATCTCAAATCTAATTTTAAAAGTTAGCCTTTCCCTCCCTTCCATGAGAACAACTCCTCTCCTGCTTTGTATTCATTTTCTTACATTAAGTTTGGTGATCTCAGAAATGTCAAAAGGCAGAGATGGTCCAGGCCCCAGGCCTGGGGAATACAAACCATCTGCCTTAGAAGCATTGCACCTTCCTCATAAGTGTGTGGAAACAGACTGTAAGAATGGGAATCTGCACATGCTCAGAGACAAAGGAGCACTCAGCCACATTTTTCAGGGTTTAAAGCTGGGGTGTCCAAACTTTCACCTTCCCTGGGCCACATTAGAAGATGAAAATTTGGTTTGGGCTGCATGGGGGCGGGTAGCCCTAGCCGTCCTCCGCAGCCCTGCTCCAAGTGCGCTTACTGGCAGCGACACGACTTCATGACTAAACAACAACAATGATCTGCAAAAACCCATTCACTCTGTATTAGCTGTGGATACTATTCGTTTCACTTGTTGAGGAGTGAGTTACATACATTTGTTCAGGACAAGAGCTCATACTGAGCTCAGCACCCCTGCAAGCCTGTTGCCTTAGACGATGATTGCTTCGGCTGCTAGTCCTTAAATCTGCTGTGCACAACTTTTTAATAGATAAAAGCATTGCAATCTTCAAATTTTGCAGTGCACAGCTTGGGAGCATCTGACACCCTTTGAAGGTTTCATGAATAATAAAAGAAAGGCAAGCAAACAAGTAAGCTCTATAGCAAAGTCTACAACAAGATAACATTAAGGCTACAGCATTAATTGCTTTTAGTGTCAAGGAAGACCAGAGCAAAGTTCATCTGCTACCTGCAAATGGGTTTCAAAATACTTTTCCCGGTATTAAGAAAAGCAGTTGCCAAATTTTATTTATTCTACTTGTATGCCATCCACACCCTGCAAGGGTCTCCAGGCGGCTCCCATCATCAATTAAAACAGATCAGTTAAATCAAACACACTAAAAACCAATATGATTACAGTGGTGCCTCACAAGACGAATGCCTCAAGGGACAAAAAAACCCGCAAGATGAATGGTTTTTTTGATCCATCACGTGGTGCCTTGCAAGACGGCTTCTTCTATTGCTGTGCTTTGCAAGACGATTTTCCCCTGCAAGACCAATGCCTCGCAAGATGAAAATAATTCATTCATCTTGCAAGGTTCCTATAGGAATGCATTGCAATGCATTCCTATGGGAAACCGTTTTTTGCAAGACGAAAATTTCGCAAGACAGTGCTACTCGCAGAATGAATTACCTTTGTCTTGTGAGGCACCACTGTACATCTATACTCTACAAAGGCAAGAATAAAAAACAAAAAAATCTACGAAAACAATCTAGATTCATGACTCTATCAATTAAAATTAAAAGAAACTTCAATTTGGTTCAGTTTTGTGCTGACTTGGAGCCTTTATGCTTGCAGCTGCATTCACCCTGGGAAGATGAGTTGTTAATAAAATATGCAGC